AACTCCTGATATTCTGTGATTCTGTGACTCTCTACACCATCCCATTAGGTAGTTGTGGACAGCAATTTCTCCTAAATTATCTTGTCTCCAGTTCTCCCAGCCTCTCACATGTCACTTCACATCCATACTTCACCGCTTACTTGCTCCAGCACCGTAAGTCTCGGTGGCCCTCCACTGGCCAAAATGTCAGTGTCTTTCTTGCACAGAGAGAGGGGTCAAAAGTGGATACAGAGGTGGTTGCAAAAGGTTCCCTGCCCTCATTTTGCTGCCAATGTACTCATAAAAGCTCTTTTCATTGCCTTACATCTCCTAGGTTAGCAATCTGTGCCTCAGGACGAGTCACAGCCTCTAAAATAAGCTCTACTTTGCAACACAGCCTGTCATTTGGTAACTTGGGTATTTTCTCTACTATATCAGATTTCAAAATAACAGAATCCAGCTCAGGATCTCTGGCCTAGTACTAACTCTGTATATGTTGGGATTCAGAGTCTGGAGGTACTCGTGTCCTTCTGGAAGCTAAAAAGCAGTGACCGCTAAGAAAACCACCTCACACCGACTAAGAAATGTGCTCCCACAAGAGAAGGATCACCACAGCTCTTACAAGCATCAAACCCATCTCAGTTCCAGTACTACAGTCCTCCATCTCTCCCCAATTCAGCCACCAACTACTAAACTATTGACAGAGCAGTCAGATGCAGCACAAGCCTCAGAATTTTGACTGAAGAGGATCAGTTATGCTGTCATTATGTTTTCAATACTTCTTTGCATCTCTGATATCCGGAAAAAAAAATATTATCTTATAGGAACACTGAGATTCTAACCTTAGAGCCTGAGTTCAGAAACTGGGATCGTTGGCTTAAAATTAACACAAGCTGTCCCCATAGAAGCTATTTTTAACAAGTGAATGAAAGGGAATAAAAATAAGACTGCATATTTTAATAGGCCTAACACATGTCAGAAATTCTAATCCCCTTACACTCTTCTCAGCTGAGAATATGTTCCAATTACACAAATGAAAGCAAGCAAAAACCATACCTTTTATTGCACCCACAATATTTTGGTCTAGTCCTTTCCGGTTGTCGTTGAGCCCTCTTTTCCTTTTGCCGTTTGGTAAAGAGTTCGCCAAAGTCTTGTCATCAAAAAAAGCACAGACCAGCTTTCTAAAGAGCAGGCTTCCTGAGCGAGTATAGTTTGATAATATAGAGTCCAGCTGAGATTTCGGCATGAAGACGTCAAAGCCTTCTGCAAGTTGCACTTCTGGCTACCAAAAGAATGCAAAACGTTTAATTAAAAGAGCATTCAGATACATTATTTTACTTCAATCATGCATCCGGTGAGACTTTACAATCACTCAATCAAACCACGACTTTTTTCCCAGCTATTCAGTCCCACAGCAGCATACTTCACCAAAATCAAACCACACCAGTGGAGAAGCACCTTAAAAGGCAAATCAAATAATCATACTCGTGTCTAGCCACTGTAATAGTTAACAATTACTGACATTATTTCTAGGTGTACAGCTACCAAAAAGAAAAGAGATACATTTCAATATTGGATAATATTGTGTCCAGTTCTGGGCCCCTCAGTTCAAGAAGGACAGGGAACTGCTGGAGAGAGTCCAGCGTAGGGCTACAAAGATGATCAAGGGAGTGGAGCATCTCCCTTATGAGGAGCGGCTGAGGGAGCTGGGTCTCTTTAGTTTGCAGAAGAGGAGACTGAGGGGAGACCTCATTCATGTTTATAAATATTTAAAGGGTGAGTGTCACGAGGATGGAGCCAGGCTCTTCTCGGTGACAAGCAATGATAGGACAAGGGGTAACGGACACAAGCTGGAACACAGGAGGTTCCACTTAAATTTGAGAAGAAACTTCTTCTCAGTGAGGGTGACAGAGCGCTGGACCAGGCTGCCCAGAGAGGTTGTGGAGTCTCCTTCTCTGCAGACATTCAAAACCCGCCTGGACGCCTTCCTGTGCAACCTCATCTAGGTGTTCCTGCTCCGGCAGGGGGATTGGACTGGATGAGCTTTTGAGGTCCCTTCCAATCCCTGATGTTCTGTGATTCTGTGATTCTGTGAAACCAGAGGATCATCCCAGAGCAATACTCCTATGCAATACTTTGTGGACATTTATCTAACTATTTTATGGACTTGTTTCACTGCCAAATTATGTGGACAAGTGGGCAGCCAGGCATTTCCAAGAAGCACAAATGCAGGGTTACAGCCCTTTTGTTCCATGTGGCTTCCCAAGAGGGCCTGAGGCGCAGATACAGCCCATATGAGTATAAGCAGATGACAAGTTTGAGGTTGCCCTTGGAGCCAGCACTTGCTGATCATCCATTTCTCCCTCCTTTTCATATTCCCAAAACACATCCTTGGAAGAGGATGATGTTAGATAGACAGCTTAGCTCAGCACAAAAAACCTCGGTGGTAAATCAGAGGGATTTATGTGACTGCTAAGAAGTGAGATAGAAGGGAAGAAGAGGAAATAAAATCATCCTGTATTTCACAAGAGTCTCGTCTCAAGTACATCGTGGGCCACGGCAGACAGAGGCCTTCAAGGAAGTCCCCTTACTAAGAGCCTTTTTGCTGCTCCTGTCTGTACATATCAGAAATTACACAAACAATACTTGCAGTATCTTCTGCTGTGACTACCACAGAATCACAGAATCACAGAACGTTAGGGATTGGAAGGGACCTCAAAAGCTCATCCAGTCCAATCCCCCTGCCGGAGCAGGAACACCCAGATGAGGTTGCACAGGAAGGCGTCCAGGCGGGTTTTGAATGTCAAGACGTCTGTACTGAATAATTATACATCTAGAATGAAGATACATCATGAAGAAACTAAAAGTTTTAAGTACTATCTGGAAGTTGGCGAGGAGGGAAAAAAAATCAGTGGTCATAATGTAAGAAAAGAAGATAACATTAATGTCTTGCTCCTAATAACTTCTTCTTTTTTCCTCCTATATGAAAATACACCCACCAGTGATGGTGTCTTTTCAAAGATGTTTACAGAGCAAGAGCAAATGCCATCTCCCATCAAATCACCTGCAAACATCTTGAGTCTAGACAGAAGAAAGGGCTGCCAATCTCAGAAGGAGTTGGCTGTGTAAATCCTTCCCCACGGATTTTTAAAAATCAGTATCAAGAGAGTTACAGCAAGCAGAACACTTTCAAAGCACACACTGTCATTGGATACGCACGTGTGTTGTGTGATAAAACCGAAGATTCGAATGCTTTGGGAAGCCAGGATGAAGAATCTTAAAATATGCAGAGAGTTTAAAAAAGGAAGAAATCTAAAAAGCACACAGAAGTTTCTCGCTTGTTCTGGATGAAAAGTTGTTTTTTTACCTTGACAACTTTCAAAATGCTGGATCCAGCAAAACAGTCAGAGTTACTCTACTTGACATTTGACAATCTTCTGCTGTACGTGGGTTTTTAATATGTTACTTCTAAACTTTCTGGTGACAGAAAAGATTTTCAAATGTAAATAAATGTGGGCCGAGTTTACAACTTGGGAAAAAGTCTACTTCATGTTAAGCAAAACCCAGAACGTAGTTGTCATGGTGATGAAGGCATCCGGCCCTACTCTGTTACTTGGGGCTTACGATAGCAATCTGAGATGACCTCGATGATACAGGATGCCTAGGACAGACAAATCACCCTCACTAACACAGCTGTAAAATACACCTGAAACCTCACCAGTGTGGAGGAGGCAATTTTGTATTAGCTTTGACTATTTTATTCTTATATTAAGAATCAATCCATGTACCAGCGAAATAATCTGAAGGCAAAATGTTGATTTTCTTCTCGTTTTCCTTTAGAAGCAAACTATTCTTCAATCAAGGACAATCAGTACCGAATTAAACTTTATGATCACTTTGAATGCAGTTTGTCAAAAGGAAAGGCATTTTTCAGCAGGTAAGGATTGTGCCATAAGGAACTGGTGGGTAAACTACTTAGATACAATAAAAGACATTAGACTTGAATGCCAAAGGCTTTTGCTGTGCTAAAATTACCAGGCAGCAAATGAGATTTAATCTTAGATATTTTACTACATTGTACTACATAGATTAGAAATTATTAAGATTATAAAGGTTATAACAAATAAACATTATAAATTAAGATTATAACAGTAAAACAAACACGAGAAAGTAACTAAGAGTAGCAGATCATGACACTTAAAAAGCAGGTTCATGGGCCAGACCAAGAGTTGGTCTCGCAAGGACATTTTCCACCTCCAGAAGCAGCAGTGCTTCATCCTAGCAAATCTGAACTAATTGCACTGCTTCTGGCAGTCCCAATTTTATACACATTAAACTGAGATTTTTCTTAAAGTTCAGTAAGCACTGGCGATAACAACGGCGATAGCTGTGGTGTGTGACACAGCACACGCTACAGACAACCCTTGCAAGACTCTCATGCTCTCGAGGGAACACTCATTTATGGTGCTGCGTAAAATGTCTTTCAGTTTTTCCAGGCACTCAGACATGCTGGTCGTGAGCACACTGGAGATGCTTGTGAACAAACAGAACAAGATAATACCGCCACTCATTCTGAAAGAAGTGACTTTCTTTAGCCTCCTCAAAACGTCGTAGTTTCGCTGTTAAACATATCTATTTTCAAAACTCAACTCTTTTCTTTCCAAAGACAGAACAAAATCAAATTGCTTGTCTCGAGGTTCTGTCTCTGTAAATTTAGTCAACCAACCACTGTGTCAAGCAGGGGCCCAAGCATGGGAGGGCAGATGAGGACCTGATTTATGAGCCGCGTTTTCTCTTCTTTTATTTCTTAGGTCAAATTGGCACCTACGAGGAGCTGTGTCCAGCGATGGAACACATTCATAAAGCCAAATTAAATTCCATCGCAAGTACAAAACAGTTTTCAAAACCGGGTTTCAAGCTGAAAAGAGTGCCACAAGGACAGAAAAATTATAAGCACAAATTGCGTATTGGAGATAAATTACCAGCCCTTCCTCAAACCATTCCCTCCAACGTTATTAAGAATACTACTACAAAAGGAAACCTCTGAAAAAGCATCAAACTGCTCACTCTGTATCGCTACACCGCCTCTATGGCATGAGACTGCAATCTAATTAGTGGTGTGGCTTGCATCTATATAACTGAATTATCGTGACTGCTCTTTTTTATTATTAGTTCCCACTTCCAGAAAGGTAGAACATTATCTGCTGCATTGTTTTCATTTACGCTTATTGATACTGAATTTAATTATGTTTTTCTAACTCACAGTACTTAGGAAATTGGAAACTGCCTGCTCAAAATTAAAAATACAGTAGAGAAATTAATGATAAGTTTACTCATCAGTGAACTGGGTCAGATGACCACCTACGTGGTCATTAAACAAAGCAAATCAGCCACCAGACACATGAAATTTCTATCAATGTGTACATGTTACATCAATCAAGAAAATATGCTTACTGCAATTTTACATGCGAAAAGTACTTATTTTTAGAGAGGCAAATTTTGGCCCCTTTAGTCACACTGAGGTCATCAGCAACGCCACGGCCTTCATCCAGCAACCAGAGCGATGAAGACCAACCCGATCCAGCAAAGACTGAGGCATGAACTTTACAGAGGTGAGGAGTCCCCTGCAGCCACTGGGACCAGCCAGGCATGAAACACAGCACATAAATACATCTTGGCAGGATAAGGGCACGCGTGTGGACTATGTGCACCCATCAGCAAGTGACAGGCTCGTGAACGCTGTATACACGCAGCACTTTTCCCGGCTCCTGATCTCACGGTGGCTCTCGGCAACAGGAGAGACAAAGAACAAGTTTTCACTGCAAGCTCAAACAACAGGCAGCCTTGAACTCAAGGGAGAACCACACACTCGTGAAAGTTGAAAAAAAAACCCACCCAAAACTTCGTAATCAGCACTCCCCACGTCTAACTCTACTGTCTCCATTCAACCCTACCCGAGATTTGGTTGTTGACTCTAACAAGAGGGGACACACGTCAACCTGACTCGAGTGCTGGTTCTTCTGAATGAGTCAGTGCTTTAAAATCCGGTGATCCCACGTATTAAAATATTAACTTACATCTGATGAAGCCGATTCAAGGATAATTCCAAATCCTGAAACAGGGGTTTCTGGTTTTAGGGAGGGTTCAACTGCTTGCAGACTCAATCGTTCCGAGTTTGCCGATAGCTTCTTTTCGCTCTCTGCAGTGCTGGGTTTCTTACTCATGGCAATTGGTTCAACAGTTTTGAGAGGCAGCTTTTTCTTTTTATTCCTCTTCCTTGATATCGTTGACTTCTGTGCACAAATCAGGGGAACAGGCGGCTGCTGTCTGTTTTGAGTCCCAACTGCATGAAAGCAAGCAATGAATTACATTTATGGATAAAAGCACGTGTATAACCACAGACACACAGCCAAACTACGGACATCCTGAACTCATCTCCTGGAGAAGTGCTACGGTTTTCAGGGCTGTTTGTGCATGTGAAACATTTTATCACTTTTGCATAATTTTCCGATCTGTACAATGGGAGCAATGACACTGAGCTCCACTCTGAGGTCTTCCAAGACACACTGATGAAGAGCGTTGTAGGAAAACGAGGAATACGTGGCTGTCTTTCCTAGTGACCACTGGAGGGCTGGTGACACGAAGGACTTAAACAGTGATTAATTTGTATATCCTCGTGAATGACTTGAGAATCTCACTGTCTTTGAGCATCTTTTCCTGATAAAGTAAGATAATACAAGTGCTAATGCAATTACAGTTATTTTTATGAATGTAGTCACCAAGTTAATTAGCTCAGCAAGAACATTTCAAGTACCATTATGGCAAGAATGAGTGAAAACACTATTCTGTAGTTTATTTTCTGGAAAAAAACATAACACAAAGTTGCATCAGTTCATTTTATCAGTTTGCACATAGGCAGAAACTGACAGTTCATGCGTTACCTCTGAAATCGAACAGACCGTATTTGGTATTTTCAACACTTTGCATTTTCCAGTATCCACAATCATTTGTATAAATAAAGGCACCGATCCTGAACCTGTATTAAGGTGAGCGAGTCCTGCAGCAGAACGCTATGCAGATACAATTCTATGTCTGGATGAATCAGTAAGATCAAGGTCAAAACAAGAAAAGCTGAAAGTGTTACACATGCAAATCAAACTCATTCGAGCTACAAGTGAACTAAAAATAGTCCTCAACTACAAAGTTTGAGGAAAAAAATCAAACCTTGGAACACTTTATTATAAGATTTCTGGAGTATTTAATTTCCGTCAAGGATTTACGAGACTGCAATCTGTAGTTTATCATTTAGACAGAAGGGTGTCTAAATACTAAAATAAGTTATTACACTTTCACTTATATGTTTGCATTGTAGCTTTTTTTCTTTTAGCAACAAAAATGTCAAACCATTATTTTTTCTCTGCAAAATCATCATTTCATGCCTACCAGAAAACATAAACTATTCCCAGGCCTTTTCATCAAGACATTCACTAATTAACAAGGTACTCACACTGTAGATACATAATAAATAAGAAGTGTTCCTGCTATTGAGGAGCCAGCTCTTCTGGCATAAACCCCAGTTCTGCACCTCTCACCCATAAGCCACTTTTAATCATGTCTCTAATTTCAATGAAATCGGTGCAACTGCGTAAATAATTCCCCGTCCCAGCAAAGATCGTAAAACTGGACCTTCATGTGCTTGTCTGTAAATCGATGACTTTTAGGAAGGCCTTTCTATGTGTATCAACAGATATTTCAAAATCTGTCTGATCCTTCCTGTTGCTCACTCAGACAATATATGCCATGGAGACAGGGAGTTTAGTCAGCCCTTCACTCCACCCATATTTCAGTAAATTACTTAACACTCCCTTCTCTTGCAGAGGTCTTACCCAGCCACTCTAAGAAAAAATCCCTCTCTGGCTCCACAACCCATCACTCACAATGCATGGGCAGCTCAACTGAGAAAACCTCCAGCATCTCCAACTCCTCATTAGTATTAACACTAATTCCTAGGAAGCACGGAGGCTGCAGCTTCATAGCAGCCTACAATGACCTACCCAACTCCTAGCTGCCACGGCCCAGTTGTCCTGCTGGCTTCAGTGCTCCTCTGGCTCTGCACTGTTGTGTTTCAGCTCCTAACCTAGCAGAAAACTAACCCCGATGGTTCTCAATGAACAGATTATTGCTGGTTCAGTAGGAAGAACTGGTAAACCAGGCTGAAGAAGGGTGGAGGCCACAACATGCACTGGCTAGCTCAGTTTAGGCCACCAGAGAGCTGTAACATGAGAGATCTTTGAATTAAGTGTTATAAAAGAACTTTAAGTGGCCTTTCAATTTATTTTTCCTCCTAAGATTAGTGAACTGGTAAGCAGGTAACAGGTAAAGCAGCATTTTGCAGCTCTGAATGAATACACTGTGAAAACAAACTGGGAGTGGTCATGGCACACTGACCTACCCACTCAGCTCCTATTATCAGAGTATCTAAACACATTGGATTTTTAAAATTTAGCCTTAAAAGATTCTTACAAGATAATATCCCTTGTTACATATGAAGATCTGAGAAGCAAAAGTTACATTTCAGGAGCCTGTGACAATCTGACTTTGAATAATGTGTCAAGAGAGCAGGAAACGGTCTGGGTTTTCCTGAGTCTCCAGACAGATTTCTGTCTTACTAGAACATTCCCCCTAAAAAGAAGGTGCTCGTCATGGATATGCACGTACCTGTCATCGTACCTGCTTGAATCTGCATCAATTTCCGCATGGTCTTGAGCTCTTGAAGAATAGCCTGTAGGGTTGACTGGCAATTGCATGTACAGCAGTTTGGTCCAGTTGATGAATTCACCATTGGGATTTCTCCTGAAAGAGAGGGGAATGAAATGGGGGAGAGATGATGTAACTCACAGAAAACCACCCAAACAACAATTACCAGCAGGCATTAGAAACTATTCTCAATACACCTGATCGTGAAATTAGATCCAAAGCAAGAAAACAAATAATATTAAACAGGGTCCCTTTTAAGAGGAAGGGGCCACTAGTTTTTACCCAATTACCAGTATGTGCAGTTATATACAGTAGGGGACACAATGTTACATGGGCTGGAGAAGACTGCTCAGAGCGTGAATACAATGCACTCTTCACAGCAGGGCTCTCTATTGTCAGGCTACTTCATCTTGAATAACAATAGCACCAAACCTCATTATAAACATACTCATTTTATCACACACACAAAAAAGAGCCCATCTCCCGGAACAGTCTTACAAAGAATGAAGACAGTCTGCGTAATAAGGGTTTATACGGCACAGTAAATGAGGGCCTAAGAATTTTTAAACTGCTTCAACGTTACATGCGATTCGTTGCCATGTGAAGAATTGAGAATGAAAATAAAATCCCCTCTTTGGAGAAAACAAAATGAAAAACGGGATGGAAAAGAACCACCAGCAAGAAAAGCCTTCAAGTCTGCTGTTCTGTTTGCTAGGGTGGGATTGTTTTCTACGGCACATTTTCCAGCACTGTGACCTATGAGATGTGCTTTCCATAGTTTCCCTTTGAAAATTAATATAGTAGTTCAACAGATTCTTCTTTTCCAGCAATTCTTACTAGTGTTTAACCGGATTTATGTATTTCCGATTCTAGCCTTTAGCAGTGTTTTTATTACTGCCTTGCTTTCTAGAAGTTTTGCATCATAGGTCCTGAATTAGGTTGTAACAGCTGAGAGATGTCAAGCTTTACCTGAACAGCTGTATCCTGCACTTTACTTTAAAACAGCTGTATCCCTACCTTTAACGCTGCAAATAAAAAGTTCAAAATCCAACGAAACACCTAGTGGTAACTGCTTGAAACTGAGGTCAGATAGGATACACCCCCCTTCATTTCAAAATGTGCTTACAGTCATTTAAATTGATGGCTATTTTACTGCTCATCAAAGCGTGCAAGAGGAGGGATGATCATTTGATGAAGATAGGAACAAATGGATCTAACAAAAATCATCTCGCTTGGTGTCACACGTGGTGGACTTCAGAGGGTGTATTTCCCTTTTTCTGCCATAGCCTGACAGTTACCAAGTGCCCTTTAATCATTACCCAGCCAAAGTGAACATAAGCAACTCATTTAATCTTCGCTCATAAATCCTCCCATTTTTCATCACTGCATTTGCTCTCCTCTGAAGCCAAACCCGTTTGTTAATACCTTTTCAGGTTTGGTTTGCATTCTTTCATCAGAGCTCCCTGATGGCAGGCCCACATAGTTCCCCCGATATCAATTCTCACTCGAGATAGCTGAAAATCTGGCCACCGCCAAATCGCTCCCCCTCTTTCCTAGCTTTTCCAATGTGTCCCTGCATCCTCAAAACTCTCTTCCCACTCTTGGTCTCTACCTCCTACCACTCAGTCTTTCAGCTCTGAAGCAATGTCTGTCAGGCTTGAGTAAACTGGTTGGTCATTCTCCCAAAAGTGAGTTTCCTGTGAAGCTAAACTGACGTTTAGGGTTTGCTGACATCTTCTGGGTGTTGCTCTCCTCCTCTCCTCAGATATTGAGACTGTCCACACAATTGCAACTACAAATTTTGGTATTTTAAAATACCATCCATGGGCAAAAACTGTTAATACTGCATTAAGATAAATGCAGTCGTTTAAGAATAGCCACAAACCTAGCAAATACAAATGCAATAGTTCCACCATTGGCTTCTCTCCAAGGTTTCAGCTGTAACTACAACAACTTTTTAAAAGCAAAAAGAGATCTGCAAAACAGGCTGAGAGTCTCAAATTAAAACAAAAACCAGGTTACTGACTCAGCAGGACTCTGCCTAGTTTGATCTCACCCTTCCTTTGTGTGCTCTCTATTCAGACTGAAAGTTCCTTGGGGCACGGATGGGATTTTATCTTTTCAATGGTCTATAAAGCGCTCAGCCCATTGTTCCAGGTACACAGGGAAAAAAATATAATGTTATCTTTAGCTTTGCAGCAGATTAAGCAGAATCCCTCAACTTGGCTCCACCAATACCCTTTACCTATTTGCTAAAGGTAGATTTTTAAGTAGATGAGGTTCAAGACTACTTATAATTTAATAGCACCAGCATAACTCCGTACTGTTCAGAAAGACAAACAGGTACCGCAGAAACGGAGTCCCAGGAAATTAGGATAGTTTTATTAATGAAAGACAAACACATAGTCAGAACACTCTTCCTCTAGTGCTTTCTCAGTTGTTTTAGACTAATCAGCTCCTTTGGATAAGCCCCATCCTCCTTCTCGATCAGAATCCAGTGGGCCTCTGGACATGGTATCAAAAAGACTGCAGTGGGAGACAGGGCTGGTGGCTTTTGTTTCCCTCTTAACAAAGACTCTACGTTGTGGTGAACTGCATGTGAAAACTTGGACAAACTGTATCAGTAAATACCTGTACATCTTCCCTATTGCAATCTAACATGCTCCTACTGAAAGCCCGCAGGCTCCTGATGGAAAACCAAAGGGTCTATTTTCCCATTGAGGCCTGGAGGATTTACATTATAATCCCCATTAGCACTGATAGAAATTACCCATGTAAATCTACCAGAGGAACTGGAAATGGGAAAAGAGACCACCAATATTTCAAATCAAAGCAGGGTTCTACTGACTTCATACATATTCATGAGGGTTTTTTATTTTCTTTCTATCCTCCCTCTTCTGATCAGTTACCGTGTTGTAAGAAACATCTTGCAGAGTGTTCTCAGTCATTGTTCCAATGCTATCTTTATCATTTTTAGAGGACAAAAGCAACCCTTTTCAACTCGTTATAAATCAATTTTTAATTTTAAAAGGAGAACAGACTTTTTATTTTTACGAAGGAGTCTTTAAAGAGCCATCTCCCTCTCTTTTGGAACCTAGCCAGCAGGCAAATTTGATACCGGCTTACATGACTGAGTGAAGAAGATGACACAAATACAACAGTTGCTTCCCCTGTGTAAGCAGCAAGCGGCCCAGGACAGTGGTTCTTGCAGCTGGATCTGCTGAGAGTGAATCCACCTGGTGTAACATCGCTACCACAAGTTTACATTCGAAAAGCATGCAAGCGCAACACATTGAAAACAATCTTGACAGAACCGAAAAGCAATTCAGCTGCTGCGTTGCTGCTGGATTTGCTTTTCCTTTTTCTCTCCCCGTCTTTCCGCCAATACCTTTTTTACGACTGCTTTCTACACCAGCACCTATTAAATATCCACTCCAGTCTCTCCTTGGACCATCTTTACCATGTGAGCAGATACCTATGCTAGTTAGATGGATTTAGATGCCTATTACATCCAAATTTGAGTAATTCAGACAGCCTACAACACAGATCTTGGCTTCCTGCGTGGTATCCATCCACAGTGGACAGAAACAGTCTCTGGATTCAGAGCAGATGCTACAGACGTCTGGACATCTCCCCAGTGATGACCTAGGCCTGACAGCCCCAGGTCATGAGCTTATATCCTGCCTCAACAGTTCTGCTCAGATGAGTATTAACTACTAAGACGTAGTAGTATCTTCTCTGACATTTGATTTCAACACTCAGCCTTTAAGGACTTTGTCCACCCTTCAAACAACATCTAAAACACTTGAGTTAGATACTCAGGCTCCCAATGCAAGGGATGGGGGCATCAGGCATGTTACAATGTCCCCCCAAAAGAGCTGTGTGCTGGCTGAGGAGCAGTTTCAGAGCTTGCTTACAGCCTAGAAACACATCAGAAGTTTTCCCTTCCTGGATACCAGGCTTTGGAGCCACAGCAGCAGAACTGTCCGGCAGGATCACAACACCCCACTGGATGCAGACACCTCTAACCAAAGAGCTCCGCAGATCTTCAAAGGCAGCCAGCAGAGAGGGCCCACACCCACCTTTATGTAATAACCTAAAAGACCGCATTCCTTTCTGCAGCAGGACAGCTGCAGAGGGAGCGGGGAAGGTGTCTCCAGGTGCACCTCCCCAAAAGCTGGGAGCTCGGACATTGCTCCTGACCGGTCCAGAGGTCGCTCAACCTAACTCAACCCAACCCTCTCACAGACCGTTCTAACCGACAGGAGATCAGAAATCAGCCAAACCATTCCTCCTCATATGAGAAATAAAAATGCTGACATTTTCTTGCATACGGGGCCAAATCCTGTCAACACGGCTTAGCTCACATGCTGAATCAGGCCCCCGAGGGGACAGAGGTGCTGCTCCACCTACTTTTTGGATCCAGGAACTTGGCACCTCACCTGTGCAGGCTTGGGCACTTCTGTGCATGCAGAGAACTGTCCCCACCAGTGCCCAGAGACTCTCAGGACAAAGAGGGAGATGTGAGATGGAATTTCAGGTCCTTCCACATTTAGGAGGTCAAAAAATCACGTTATGGGGGGATTTCGAGAGTGCAGTTTTAGATTTAGATGCTAAATCCCATCAAGTGTTCTCTCTCCCCTGGATCTGCATCTTTAAATAAACCCACGACTATTGTACCATAAAATAAAACAAACTAGTGTGACTTACTGCAACATTGCTCTCCAGGTCACCTGGTACCTCTGTGTGAATCGTTACCTCTACAGAGAACCAGTCAATCTGGTGAAACCTAGGGCTGTATGTTTGTTTGGGGGTTTTTTAGTGCAGTGACAGTACTTCCTAAAGGACAGTACTGAGGATAATAATAGTTTGGGGTTATTTTTCCATAAACTTGTATGCTTTGAGAGAAGAACACACAGGAGATGCTCCTATTGGGAAGTATGAATACCTTGAGAATCAACTGGAAATCGATCATGTTTACAGATGCAATCTCACAACTTTGTATTTTCCGTAACTTAGAACCCAGGCACCCCTTTAATGTAGCCCCCCTCCTTTAAATTTAGGGTTCAGTAACAGGAGAAATACTTTCTGAATTGAATTTAGATCGTTAAGAACGACCTCCAGGAATCTGGCAGTAAAACCTCCATTCTCTGGGACTTAAAACGACAAGAGAAAAGCATTCTAAGGGCACACTGCCATCTACTTTAGAGGAGAATTCTCTGCCAGCACAAGATGGACCAAGCTCTAATACATGATATTCACAGGTGGCCTCCATCATCTCTTTTCTCCAATGGTCCCATTAGAATAAAAGCCTAATGCTGTGATGGGATTTTGTACCTGAAGTTCAGGGGTCAGCTGTAAGGCCGATGCCATCCCCTGATGAAAGCCAGCAGAATCCTGCTCTGCAAGTGGTGTCACAACAGCGCTACATTACTCATTGCAAAGAGGAGTGGTAGAGGTTGACATTTAATTAGCCATGGACGTAATAACAATGGCAAAAGCTGTTTTAATAAGTACTGTATAGAAATTAAGCCTGTAACAGCATTGAGTAATTCTGTTCTATCACCAGGAACCCATTTGAAAAGCTAAGACAGATGGCAGCAGAATGCACCGTGCCCACTTTCGCACCTTTTCCAAGCGATAACTATGTGCTCATTTTGTAGACGCTGAACTATATATAACTGATTTCAGTGCAGGGGTACAATAAATCATCACAACAAAGGCAGAAATTTCGTACAGTACGAGAAGAAAAAAGAAACAACCACCCAGAACTGTTCTCAGTATCTAATGCAGATCATACCGTTGGATGCCACGGTTCGCGTCTGGTTTTGGAACGTTTTGGATCGGGTTCCGTATTGCCCCGAGAAATGGCCAGTTTGGGGCGGTAACTCATTCCATGCACCGCTCTGTGAAGGATGAAGGCTCGCCTGGGACTCCGCAGGAGGATTCAGGCGCTGGGCCCAGGCTAAGTCTAAATCTTGGGGCTCCTCCTTCAGCTTTTCTCCTTCTTTGCCAACTCGTTGATAGATTCTTCCAGTGCTGTCATTCAGTAATCTTCTCATCCCTGTAATTTGTTTTTTAATTTCCCGGCTTTCATCTCCTAATGAAAACAGAGCCACAGTTATCACTGTAAATTAGCAAAAAAACGGTAATGGGTAGAGATTAGTGATTTTGGATGCCAATGAGGGCTGGAGTACGGAAATAAATAACTAAGGGTGAGAAAGAAAAGAGATGGTTGAGCAGTGGTTGGTATGTGCCAGGCTACGCTTTAATGCAGCGATGGCTGACATCGCGTGG